CGTTTGCTGCGAATAAACGCAGTCATCGTGTCGCAAAAGTAAAACGTGCCTGGTCACCAAGTCGATCGGCGGATACGATTTGAAATCCGCTCGGCAAGCGAATCAAATCAGCCCAGAAAGATTAGATTGCAGAGTTAACCAGTTGGGGTTGTAGCCTCACGCTACGAGAGACAGGACGTTGGAGCTTGGAAACTGTTCTTCCTGGGATCACGAGATCGTAGATACGTAACGAGTTGAGAAATGTTGTATCTAGTTTACCAAGTTTCAGATTGTTTGTTAAAGCTTGACATTTAGGGATTTCGACGACTTTAGGGAGTCAAGATTTGGATAAAAATTTTATTGTATTGTACTGTATTAAAAATACAGATTGTATCAAAAATTATAGATATGACAATTTGAATCTACTGTAAGAATAAAAGTTAATATAAATCCTATTTTATATTGAGAAATTTTATTATACGAGGTGGGGCAGTAATCGCAGTACAACCGGCCAGGGGTGATTCTACGTGAAAAAATAAGAAAGCAATTTCGTATCTGCGGCTTCGTTTTCGAGAAAATTGACTTTGAAGATTTGACAATTATACCTAAATTTGGTTAATTCCGGATAAGAGTAAATAATCGACAGCGATTTAAATTCCATTCGAAAATAAGTCAAAAATATAGAAACAATATAGGCAAATTAAGGTATGCTTGACAAATTTTCAAATTCGATTTTCCCAGAAACGAAGCGTCATATGAAAAAATGTTATTCTAGAGTTTCGACTTGTTTTTTCGTGTAGAATGAATGCCCCTTCCCGGTTGTACTACGACTATCGTCTCCATTTTGCATATATACAGGGTGGTTGGTAACTGGTAGTTCAAGCGGAAAGGGGGTGATACTACGCGAAAAAAGAGGTCGAAAATGTAGAATCAAAATTTTTCGTTTGAAGCTTTGTTTTCGAGGAAATCGACTTTGAATTTTCGCTCGGTACGCGTGCACTTTATCGCGTCTCGTTATAACGGATCTCACTGCAGATTGTTGTCTCGATGGAAAAATTAAAAAAAAAATAAAAAATTAAAAAAAAATTTTTATTCTATATTTTCAACTTCTTTTTTTAGAATCACCCCCTTTCCGCTTATACCACCAGTTACTAACTACCCCGTATAACAAATAAACTGTTCTTAGATGTATATCAGCTTTGCCAACCATTTGCTTACCAATAATCCAAAAATGTTTTTATCGCCGATAATGCCAGTGATTATTCTTAGTCAAAAGCAGTTTCCATCGTCGATGATAGTTATTGAAAATTGCAATCATTTATAATGGTTAGATATTTGTAACTAAAGCATTTAAAAATGAATAGCTTTTAACCATTTAATTTGTAGAAAATCCCTTTAAGATGTACAGTTCAGTATCTTCCATTCCCATTAAAATGAACTTTTTCTCAAAATCTTTCTTCGTAATAATTTTCAAAATGACTGTTACTTTTCGTCCCCAAAGAGAACACAACGTCGAATAGGTTTTGAAGCGAATTCTGTCATAGACATACTCGATTAACCGTGACTTTCTACCAAGTGTAATTAGCGCATTCCTTATCCGACGAATTGCAACCGCGAACGTGATTCGCGTTAGTAAAAATATCCGGAGGGAGGATAGTTTTCGCAACGTGGATCGCTTCCGCGATTGCTATTAACCAACGAACAAATTAATTTGCGATCGCGTGCCCGTCGCCGAAAGTAAATCCAACGGTGAAACCTATCGTACCTTAATTAAAATAGATCGTGTCTTAAATCTTTAAAGGAATGAAAGTAACTGTTCGCGTGAAAACAGCCTTTCGAAATCTTTAGAAGATCGTGCTTCTTCGTCAGGGAATGCAGACGAAAGTTAAAGACTCGATTTATCGGGAAGAATTTAATTAAAATCAATTTAATTAAAGATATCAATTGAAGTGATTAATCGTTTGATTATTGTTAACGATCGTATCTGTCACGCGTATATATGCAATAATAATAATAGTAATAACGTACTTAATAAATATAACAATATATTATAAGCAGGTATATATAATATTATACATATAGGGTGAGTATCGTAACACGGTGGCTTCAAATAACTTGGAAATTATTTTGTGCGAAAAATGTTTCGAACAAAAGTTGCATAGACATTGTTGAGATATGACGGTTATAGTTTGTTCTTTAAATGGCACGCCTAACGCTTTTTCTCGAATTCGGATAAAACCTCAAATTGTATGTTAAAAAGTATTACGCACGATAAGATCTAAAATTAATAATTGTTGAAATATTTTGAAGTTAATTACTTACAAAAATATGCACTGAGCAACAGAAAATCCTCATGGGCTTCGTAAAATCGACCACGAACACCACCAAATTTTCTGTGACCTGGATTGATTTTGAATGACCTTGAGTGAATATAGTGGTTGAATTCACCGTTATGTGTAGTAAAAAATATGTATTTATTTTTACATATAATATTTATACTACAGTACAATATTTTTAATTTTCTTAACATTTTATTGTGTCATCAATATTTTCAACAGCATCCAGCTGTCATCTTATAAGCTGACATAAAGAGCTGATAATTTATTATCGCACAAACTATACATACCAAAATAATTGTAGAAGTATTGTTAAATATCGATTATTAAACATTGTATCGTAAATAATATTCGATATATTACCTTACATTGAACATATTGCTGACATATTGTGCATATTTTTTCTGCATATTTTATATGCGTATGTGTCATACGTTTTTTTGTAAAATTAGTGTGCATAAACGTCCACAATTTAATTATTACGAATAAAAAATGACTCATCCACCTCACGGTTACAGTGACTACATTATAATACATAATCATATCACATTGCAAGATAATACATTATTTAACATAAAAATACAATAATACTACAAGCTAGGTGTACAGCGATTACTTATCGATTGATAAATGATTCGAAATTATAAAATTATTATAATAATTAATAAATTATACATGGAAGTATAAAAATAAAATTACGATTTTGAATCAATTACACTAATTTTATTCTCTTTATATATAATCTTATTTTTATAAGTCTAATTATTATGTAGCGATCAATCATAGTACTAAGTTACATCTAATTACAGATTAATTACGCGTGAGAAGATATAAGTGGAACTCTGTTGATATTCCGACTTTTATATCACTCTTTGATAAAAAAAAGTATTTTAATATGAAATAGTAGATAAGAGGAATAAGCTGACAGATTTAAAGGTATAAGCCTCTTTAAGCAGATGATAAATGCACGATATTTTGTAAGAAATGAATAATATTAGTTTAATTAACTAATATTTTCAATACTTTTGTATAGATTATTATAAATACAATACTATTATAAATATTATTAATAAGTAAATGATGTGAATTATAAAACAATTGTAATAATTAATAAATTACAAATGAAATTATAAAAGTAATTAACATACTATAAGAATTCAACGTGAAGTCACCTAAAATTATTCAAGATATTTTGATAATTATTGCATCAATAAAAGTGTCTCTACAATATATAAAATCTATCTTATCAGACTTGTTTCCGTTAGTTTCATATTTATAGTCAACGCCGTATTAACTGCAAAACGGTTATTGGAAACGAAGGCAACGGTTAAACTAGTACGATAGTAACTAGAGCGTTCAGATCAGATTCTGTTACGTAAATTATATTAATTGTTCAATTAAATTCTTATCTTCTTAAACAGTAGCGTAAGTTCACGGATTCCTGCAACTTCATCAATACATATTATTTTTTAAAATCGCTTTCAGACCGTATCTCTCGCTCGCGGAACGAGATGAGTACAATTAATTGGTTAAAATGGAACTGATAAATATTTGAAAGGGTTCAATAAAATCTATTGGCATGCTATCGCTGCATATACAGTCTTCAATATCTAATTCTACTTTCGTCATTTCCTTTTTCAATAATAAAGATCATGAATATTTTTCCACGTGATTGATTCTGTAATAATTAATTCATCAACTGCAAACATATACTTGAGTATTGTTCGTATCAATAGTTACATCAACAAATAATAATGAAATACACATGTGCATAATTATATGTACTAAAACTAAAGGACTAACACTATAATATAATACAGCAATAAATATATGTAATATATGTATAATATACGTATATGTATTATAAATCATTAAATATCTTTGTAGAAATAAAATATCCAATTTTGAAACTCAATACTACTATGATACACTATCATAAGCTTCCGTTCATAAGTATTAGCACATTTATGAAAATTTAAGTGTCCTTGAAGAATCATTAAGAAATTATTAAAACATTCGAACATTATTATCTTATTCCAAATAAAGAATTCATATTCAATTTTATAATAATAATCTCACCAATTTTCTATAATGAAATTAATTTATCTTCTTCATTGCCTATACTTGTTATGTTTGTCGTTAATTATTGTATTGTTAATTATTTTGCTACTTACTATGTTATTATTATATAGTAAGCATATTATCACTGCATTTCTTCTTATTTCATTTCATGCACCTTGTAAACGATTTTACAGTACAGATTTAGATTTTGTGCAGATTTTTCGAAACTAAGGAGTTTGCAATCTGCATATTAGATTTAGACTAGAAGACTGTGAGAGGCATAATTATTATACTAATTTACTTATGTTATTGCAGGTCTAATAAATTTCTGCTGTGTATTTTAAACCATAATTTTATGTGAATACAGAATCTCGGTCGACTAATCCATTCCTTGATAATTCATATTTTATGTTACATATTCTGGTATATTACTTGGTTATGCATATTAATCATCAAATTTCACACGAATGTCCCAATACTTATGAATAGATAGCAATAATGATTATAAAGAATAAAATCATTGCAATAATGTTGTAAGTAAAATATATCTAGCGATATATATTGCGAAGTATATAACGAAGTATATAATGAAATAATGTAACTAAATGTTAATGTGGTGTACAACTCGAAGTAAAACTTTCCCCTTTTCAAGCATTAACGTATAACCTTGTGTTAAATTCCCTGAAATCAGTTTATGAATATCTCACATACCTCATTTTATATGCTACGCGATAATTTACACAGATTTCGAAACTTAAATCGTTCACGAGACAAGCATTCTTTCTCGCAGCATTTAGTTTAAATACCTACTTCCTGGAGAACGTGTAAGAAAACTAGTAATGGCGAGATTGTATATATTATTTGCACGATATTAAATGCAAGTCTAGCAGTAATACTTCTTTTTCAAGCGTTATTTTCAAATATATTTATTTGGAGTAATCAATCTTTTTATTTGTTATTTTTGTTTCAAACAAGACGTATCTAATCTCATATCGAAATTATGTAAGGAATTATATATTGGGTAAAACATTTTATCAAGCTTCTACGATCTGAAAGTTAAGTGTATTTGGTTCGTATTGCAATGGATAGCTCGTGATTATATTGTTAGACGATGTAGGTAATTATAATTATGTACATTTGTATTTTATCGTAAAAACTTTCCACCATTGTTTCAAGTGGTTCGATGCATTTATAGAAAAACACGTGATCTGAAGATTAGATCGAACGCTCGTTAAAATTGGTTTTACCTGTTAAATTATCAGCTAATGTTGAAAATGTGAAATTTGTGATATTTTATGTTCTTATCGAGTGTAGGAACTACTGCCTTTTCGCAAAGCATAATAGAAATTGAAATTAAGTGGAAGAATGTGTACGCTACTACAATTGAAGATATTACTGCAAAACGCTTTCGAATGTTACTGTATAGAATATTGTATAGAATATATATAAATTTAATTTTTCGTACGTGAAAACCTCAATATATATATAGATATTAAATTTGATATTATACGAAATTATACGAGATATTATACGGAAAATTAAATTTGAAGGACAGATATGGATATTTGGTACGAGGTATGCTATCTCCGAAAATAAGTAAAAAGTATGCAGTAAAGAATAACATTCTTCCATTTATCTTATTTTCAAGAGAAAACAAACAACCGACAGGAGACTACTCTACTTGCGAAAATGAGTCAAAGATGTAAAACAAGATTCTTCTATGTAAAGTTTCATTTTTAAGAAAATAGAGTTTAATGCGTTGAACTAAGAATCGACTTACTGCACGTCTACTCGATAAATTTTCAAATTTCATTTTCCCAGAAACGCTACGTTCTATGAAATAATTTTATTCTACATTTTCGATTTATTTTGAAATACAGAATAACTTCTTATTGATTCACTTCTGCCTAGTTTAGAATCAGGCAAGTTCAGTTATACTGGATACATTTTTCGACTCGATTTTCTTGGAAACGAAGCGCCGCGTGAAAAATTTTATTTCATAAATTCCTGATTTATTTCGGGATGTAGAACAACCTTTTATCGATTGTTCATTCCCACATCAGAAATCGGACCGAAATAATTCGGAATCAGACAAGTTCGAGTATATATGTGGCAAAGGTTTTAACTCAAGTTTTAAGCTTTTAAGTAAAGTTCAAGTCAACTTTAACGAAATATCGTATGAACAAACCTTATTCTACATTTTCTGTTTATGTTGCCATGTAGAATGGCTGCCTCGTTAATCCATAATTACTGCAGTATAATACTGATAATAAGTACGGTGTTATCAAAAATGTACCTTGTCAAACTGTAAACTTATATCAAGTGATTGCTCCGGTATATATTCATCCAGATGCAAAAATGCACAGTTGAAAACAGGATTACTGTTATTCGAGCGTAACCATGCTTACTAAAATCAGGTAAGAAGCCTAAAACTTTTTAGTGGTTTTAATCTGTAAAACGTTCGTAATAAGTTAATGGTGGGTCGAGATAGATCAGTGATCCGAGAAAAAACGAACACCGATCCGTTGTTATTCTATTTCCACGATTTTTGTCATATACATGTCGGGTTAGCGTTAGGTTTATGGGCGTGTAACGAATCTTCATTCGGACTAGCCATCGTTGTTGTACAACAGAGATTATATTTACTGGTATAAATATTGATTTTTACAAAGTTTGACAAATGACCGTGGTGATTAAACACTCGAGATGTCAGTGACAATGTTCTTAGGTTCAATAACGAATCCACGGTCAACGGGGCAACTCTTTGTTAAACGTAGAATATATTTTGAAGCGTAAAGTAACGCTTGTTGTGACGCTCGGGTTAATATTGCACGTAAAGACGATGTGCATTCTCCAAGGTGATCGCAAGAATAAAAGACTGATACGATCGCATTTGTCAATTGCATATTGGCCGGGGATACCAACAAAATTCCAGCTGCCGTTGCTAGGCAGACTCGCGTAGAGCTGACGTTGCTCCTGCCCGGGGTTTAATTGTTAATACAACGTGTGTCTCACAATATTGGCACTTCTCTGTTAGGTAAAAACGTTCATCTCGTGACCGTGGCTACGTTGGGCGACCAGTTGTGTCACCTCGAGCCCAAGCCCACTGTCGCAAATCTCGGGCAAACATAATCAGATCGTATCGCAACAACTACTTCTAAGTTCTATTATTTAAGTACAGCTATAATAAATAGTTTAGACCAAAGTATTGGGGATCTTCCGAAAATTCCAAAAGGAAGTCCCCGATGTCCCCTCACCTCCGACATACATATACGGACAGTCTTTATTTTCCAGTGATTGCATCGTAATTGCAATAAGCTAACTTTGTCAGCTACGTGTTTGTAACAAAGTAAGGGAAACATTGAAATTATTTTAGGAACTTTTAGTTCTAACTAAATAATTAAATAACCGATATTCTCGAAGTAACATTGGAGGATTGCTATGATATAATGAAAAATGTTTAATGTTGAACGGTAACAATAAAGCACACAAAAGATGCTTATACATTATTTTCCTTTGTCAGTCGTTTTGCAGTTGTTTTAAGCAGCAGTTATCGATAGATACTTTGTATAAACGTTCAGTCAAACACGGCTGGTAGTTTAGTCAAGTTGCAAGTAAATTCAAATTTACACTGTCTCACTGTGGATCATCACAGCGGACAATTCATCGGAAAACGTTGCTTTAGGCGAATTTATGTTTCACTTTGGACGAATACGACGGATAAACGCTGTTTCCATTCGCGTTCCCCCAAAGTGAAAGAGCATAAATTCGGCTTTTCATCCTCGTTTCAACCGTAGTGATCCTTCAAAGTGGACAGTGTAAATTCAGCTTTACCTACTACTTGACTAAATTATTTTCCGTGTGTGAAAACACATTCTTAATGCTCGTGTCACTGCTATCTCAAAATAAGTTACGTAAGTACGAAGGCATTTTAAGGCCAAGATCCTTAATATTCTTCTATAAAGAATAAATAAACGTATCGATTAGAGAAAATATAAAAGAACATACGATAGAATTCCATTTTCAGAAAATGACGATCTTAAAATCTCGTATAAAAAAAAAAAAATGAAAAGTTTCTCTATCATTACGCGATTCTGAGCTTGTATTATGCCGGAGTGTATCTCCACAATTCATCATGATGTCACTGCAATTGATAAACAAATTTACAAATCCGTCACAACTGCCAATCCGTAAAAAATACGATCTGTTTTGTTATAATACATTTTGCAATCTTTTTGACAATTCCCTTGTTCATAAATAGTAAAAGAAAATAGCGTAACATTGAACCAACGAATCTACTCCAAGATTCCATTATCAAACTGTTTTACTTGGCTATTTATTCGATTATCTTGTGTTTCGTCTCGAATTAACTCATTCATATTGACTCGTGTATTCTTATGTGTTGTCTCCAAATAGCTGATAACTATAGATTTGCGTATTCTGTTTAACTGTGTGTTAAATCTGGATATGTAAGTTGTGTTATATTCTAATTGATTAATCCTTTAAATGCTCGCTGAACTGCTTCTAATTGTCGTACTTAATGTAGCGTGAAATATGTTCTATTCTGATTAATTAACTCTTTGTGTGCTCACTGAATTGTTCGTCGTTCAATGTTTGTATGAACTACAAATTAAAAATGGCGGAAACTGCAATTTTTCACGAAACATGTTTTCGAGCTATAACTGTAACAAATCTAAAGATTCTTACATCTTTCGATGCCTACTGCTTGTTTCTGCATCAATTGATTTTGATGAAAATTTTAGCATGTATATAACCGACATAAGTCTACGAAACGTATTGTTAGAAGATCGTAATAGTCATTACAGGTTTAGATAAAAATGTCGTGACAAATGACATTTGGTGATCTAATTCTTTTATCTTTTCCAAGAAACTCAAGTCCTCTGGTCCAATTTCTAAAAAGTAATCCTGGTTTAGACTATCCGAATATTAACGTGACCTACTATATTGTGCAATTTAAAATCTCCGAATTTGTATAATATTACGACGACAATTAAAAAAGAAAGACATCATAAAAATATGTGAAATCAAAATGTAATATGAAATGTGGTCAATAAAAGAAATTTTTAAAACATATAATAAAACATTTTCTCTACAGTTCAAGAGGAGACTGATGCTACATTATCTGAAAATAACTTTGAATGCGACATGCTTGAAGGAGGAAATGAAACAAATAAAGCAAACATAGCTGAAAATAAAGTTTTATCAATAGATGTAAAGCAAGATTCAGAAAATCTGAAGAAAGACTCAACGCCAGAATTTCCAGCGACTGCGACTTCTAGTACAGTACCAAATCCTCCTTTTGCAAATTCATTCCTTTCCAATGCTTTTGAAGGTCTAACATTGCCAGATAATAAATATGCAAAAACTGTACAAACAGTCAACCCAGTTTCACGTACATGCCAAAAATGCATCAATGAATGGAATAACCTTGAACTTGCAATTCCCAAATCATCAATCTTAACACCAACTACTTTTAATCTATCTAATACACAATATGCATTTGGTAACAGAAGTACGAGTCAATTTCTTACTTCTCCAACATCAGAAAGTAAAGAGTCAGTGTGTGATAACGCAGAGAGTAGATCTACGGCTTTGTGTTGGAATCCAATAAGAACATTATCAAGTCCAACATTCAAATTACCTACTGCATCACAAACTTTGCATAATCCTGCAACATCCGCATTATCATTTTTGACACCAACAACTTTTAATTTATCTAATACACAATATGCATTTGGTAACAGAAGTACGAGTCAATTTCTTACTTCTCCAACATCAGAAAGTAAAAGGTCATTGTGCGATAACGCAGGGAGTACTTTCTGTCCGCCTTTCTGTTGGAATCCAATAAGAACAACATTATCAAGTCCAACATTCCAAGTACCTGCTGCATTACAAACTTTGTATAATCCTACAACACCCAGATCATCAATTTTGGCACCAACTACTTTTAATCTATCTAATACACAATATGAATTTGGTAACAGAAGTACGAGTCAATTTCTTACTTCTCCAACATCAGAAAGTAAAGAGTCAGTGTCTGATAACGCAGAGAGTAGATCTACGGCTTTGTATTGGAATCCAATAAGAACAACATTATCAAGTTCAACATTCCAAGTACCTACTGCATTACAAACTTTGCATAATCCTACAACACCCAGATCATCAATTTTGGCACCAACTACTTTTAATTTATCTAATGAACAATGTGAATTGTGTCGCGAAATTTCATGTAAACCTTCCACTTCTGCAGTACCAGAAAATAAACTTACAGTTTACGATCCAACAATAAGAAACCAACAAGAAACAACATGCAATACAACACTCGGGATGCCAACTGCAGTATCAACTTCATTTGTCACATTACCAGCGACACCAATGGTATCTGGTGGTACTACTTCTACAATGCCTACCAGCGAGTCAAGGCGTCTTGTACATGTACATCAAACATATTTACTTAACGACAATCCTACTGAACCAGTTGTAATACCTCCATTCAATTTTCCTGCGAATGTCATACCTGATGTATCGACTCAGAATCGAGCATCAATTGGTTACTCCGATAATAGATTTAACGCATCTAATCCGGCACTTCCGCAATGTACAACTGCAAGTTCATTTTCTACATCGCAACCTGTTACATATAGTCAACAATTGTCTACTTCATCATCAATGCCTTTAATAAGCGCGTTTAATTTTGCTTCGCCATCGAGAGATTGCACAGCTGTAAGTAAACTGAAAGTATTAAGTCACTGAAAAAATTCCTAGCATATTCGATAATCGATTTATTCTATTACATTCTGTACACCCTCGTATACTCTTCTGTACACATTGAACACTCGTAGAATTCTTTTAATAATATATTAGGTTGTTCCGAAAGTTTCTTTCGTTTTATTCATAATTCAGTAAGATAATATAAAACGGAAAATGTGCATATATTATTTCCTTATGAAACGAAAGAAACTTTTGGAACAACTCAATATTATACAGGCTGGTTGGTAACTGGTGGTACAAGCGGAAAGGGGGTTATTCTATTCTAATATAGAATAAAAATTTAAAAATTTGGAAATTTAAAAATTTAAAAATTTGAAAATTTAAAAATTTAAAAATTT